GTAATATCAATTGTTAATGTCAAAAATTGACCCTTTTTAAACTCAAATCAACATTCTCGCAGCGATCGATCAAATGAGCGGAAGTCGAGGGTTCATTTTGTAAGACTCATCTGGTTTAGGTCGATGTTATCTAGTGCCTTCCGTTGCTTTAAGCATAAAGTGTCAGAATGACACTTGATCTGATCCACACCAAAATCAAACACCTCAATTTCCTATTTAAGCTGGTAAAAACTTGCGGGAAAAAGATACTTTTTATTGTCCCTGCCACGCTATCAATGTCAGAGTAACTTAGGAAAGAAACCATTCAGCGAGATTCGTGCATTTCGGTTGTGAATGTAAACTTTGCAGAATATTTATTTTTATCACAGTTTCAATTTTTCCTACAACTGCCTGTTATTCGAGATCAAAATTTACTGGAAAAGGTTTCCATCTATAAAAGAAACCTATAAGGACATCAACCAGATCAGTCCGAGTGCAGAGTAATTCTTAAAAACATTTTTATATGAATGTATCTTCATGAATTGCGGTGAACTGGCATTCCAAGTATTACAGGACGCCTTCATCTTTTCAATGGATATTTGACAGTTCACGTTTCAATGTTAATGTTGGCAACACAAAGAAATCCCTTCCTCTTGAGCTTCTCAGTTTCAACCACCATGATCCCAAAGCAAGCAGGTATATTAGAAAATTTCATAAGTAGCAAGATAGCCAAGACACTTTTGCTGACCACGCAATCAAAACACCTGTTTAGGAAAAGGCTCTTCGAAGCGCTTTTATGTAAATTTAACCACATGTAAATATTTACATCGGTGTTAAAATGGTTCGTAGTCGTTTGCTTAAATAATTTCACGTTCTCAAACTATCGTGGAAGAAATCCTTCACGTAAGGAAGCAAAAGTAATGCTCTCTTAGTGTTACATTTTGTAGTCAGAGTATTACATGTCTTTTGTCTCCAAAGCAGTGTCGTATCGAGCGGCTGTGGCAGACGATTCACCGATTCATCTTTGCTCACAGAATTCGACGTGATCGAACGGTACAAGCCTACAATTAAAACAAATACTTTATGGAAATCGCTTAGTTAAACAACTTGAAAAGTAGTTCCAAGTTAACCGAATGAATAAAGCAAATTTTGGAAAATTTAAATCACCGTAAGTGATAGGGAAATGCTGATTTGAAAGTGTCCTTATGAGATCCAAGGATAGACAGCTTTTGTCAGATTTTTGGTTTGATTTTCTTTCTCCCATTATACTTCCGTGGGAAAAAGACTGGGCCTCAAGATGCTATGTTTAGTTAAGATACCATGTCGTTGACCCGTAATGACCCCTTACGAAGTCACAGAATATGCGCGAATTTTCCCACGACATAGAAAAATCATAACTTCTACCCAAGGAAGGTGAGTAAGTTTCAGTCAAATGATAGTGTGATCGTAAATTAGTTTTAGCATGCAACTGTTGTTATTAGATTTTATACATGTACCAACTTTGAACAAGTTTGACTCACGAATTTCCTTGAGTAGCCTTTTGGTAAATTTGTAAACTGATGTAATTAGTTTTGACGTTTAGGCGAGAACACAAGTAAGAACAAAGAAAATGTGTTCCACCGAGTCTAAATACGGCTGAGCCCGCCAAGCAAGCTACTTTTAAATAAAAAGTATGCGAGATTGTGTGGCTAAATTTTGATTCAAATTCATGGCTGACTACAGAGACTATTTCAGCAGTAAGATTTTCCGTAAGTTACAAGAACGAACATGATCTATTGTTCAACTAGGGAGAATAACAAGGAACTTTAGTTATAATGCTTTCCCTCGCGTGACGTTTGAGAAATAATTCTAACACCTAAAAAAACAATTAAGAGAGAGGAGAAAACTTAGGTAGAGTGCAAATGTTTCGAACTTGGCTAAAATATGGTTTAAAAAACACAGGACTTAAAAACACAGGACTCAAAAACACAGTCTTCTCTTGTTTTGAAAATTCTATCGGCTGAATCAATCCAACTCCTACAAGTTCGTCATTTATTATCTGTGAAAAAATCAACTCCGTCTCCAAGTCATCCATCCTTGTTTGTTCTTAATTGATCAGTGCTGTTTCTGTCTTTTTTTACCGAATTGATATTTTGTCGCCTCGTTCAAGCTGAAATTAATTTGATCGTAAATCAGTCAGACTTAGTTGCTTAAAATTCACTGATATGAATGGCAAATTTCGACGCTGACAATCCGTTTCGTTGCTGTAGTGTATTCTATTTTTAACTTTGTTCGTGCGAAGTTCCTTTGCAACTTATTACTTCTTTCTTAAGCATCGTGTAAATGAATAACAATGTAGCACACGTTTCGATTTATAGCTTTTATTTTTGTCCAGCTTGGTTCAGGCATTTCATCGCCCTTGGCGCAAATCAAATCATCCCTTTTGTCATTTCAATGAACAGTAGTGAAAACGTATGATGCACGATCCTTCGCAGTAGATAGCGCTATTTATGCAATAGCGAAAATCAGACCTGAAAAAAATCAGGCCTGTACGGGATTCGAACCACTGACCTCTGCGATACTAGTGCAGCGCTCTACCAATTGAGCTAACAAGCCAACTGGGAGCAGGCCGTTAAGTTGATTCGTAATAAACCCGTGATGATAAATCTAAGTTATTGGAGAAATAATCAATTTAACTTCGGCCTCCAAGAATAGTAATCATTTGATATTTGGAAAGGGGCTTATTTCGGGATGGCAATCACTCAGTAAACCAAATCACGAGTGATGTGCAGCTTTGAAGTCCAACCTCTCATCCCTTTCCCCACCGCTACTTTTGGAAATAAACTTTATTTTATGAAAGAAAGAGAAATACGATAAAATTTGAAAAACATAAATTTTAACTGGTTCCAATCGAGTAGCGGTAAATT